TTTTAATAGAGTTTGTTCATTTGATGTTATTATTGTTAGCAACCCTGAGTGTCATTTTCGTGGAATGGTGGAATATAAATCATCATCACCATCATCATCAGTTGTGATTTTGACATCACCATGGATCTAGGTCCACAACCGTTAATGACTGCTGATTATTTGGCTAGATGCAAATAGGCAAGAGAAGTAGGTCAATTAACCAGAAAACCTTTGCGGGGAGGTAGATTTACTACACCCTTTTAACCCCTTTGGCGTCTCTGCTCCAACTGTGACATTGGATGGGACAAAAGGATCTACTACTGATGGTCATTCCTTCTCCTTCTATCTCTTCCGTGTTGGGGTCCTGTTTGGGAGTTACAGGTGCTTGGAGGAGAGGCAATCTAGGGGATGACATTGGAAACAGTTGACTCTATGCCAGCTGGAAAAGATAGAGAGGAGAGGGAGGGAGGGGAGAATCAGGAGGCAGTGAATGGCCTCCTGGAGATGGAGGAATGCAGAGGCAGTTCCAGGTACAGCACAAGCAGCATCCCAGAGGGGTGCGTGGAGAAGGGAGAGGCTGTGCCATGAAGCGAGCAACAAGGCTGAGCAGAGGCGGTGTGAATTGGTACCAAGGGAGGAGATCTCTATCGAGCCCTTGCATCCCATCCTTCCTTTGAGGAGCCTGGGTGGGTGTGCTCAGAACAATTGTGGGATAGGTTAAACTGAGAGTAGCCCAAGCCAACCCAGCAGGGTCCCAAGCTGGGTGGGAAATCAGGCACATCTCCAGAATACTGCCCAAATAACCCCTTGACCTTTTCATGAGTGCCAACCTCTGCCACAACTTCTGGCCTTCTTGCTTCCTAGGAGAAAGCATTAGTGTGCCACCCTCAGAGGTTGGTAAGAATCGTTCCTAGAACTGGCATGTCTATTAGAGAAGATCAGTCCCATCTCTGCTTGCCTTGGGGGGCAACAGGAAGGAAGCTCCTGTTTCCTGAGATGAGTGATGGAGGAGCAGGGAGGGAATTGCATCTGCTGCCTTCAGAATAGACGAATGCAACCTGGTCCATAGTCACGGGTGAAGAGCTTCTCTCACACATGCACACACCAGAAGTTTCCTTGTCCAAACGGAAAAGAGATCTACTTAAATTAAACACTGCCCTTCCCCTTAAGACAACTACATTCCACAAGTCTGAAACTTCCAAGGTGAGATCAGTGTGGGAAACCAGTTATTCAGTTTCTCCTGAGGTGTATGGTGGGGTAGTATTGCTGAATGAAAAACTACATGGGCTTTCATCTGATCAGATGCTATCGGTGCAGAGACTGGCTTTCCCCATTTCTTTGTACAAACATCTCAGATGTTCATCTTCTTTCAGGCATGATTATTGTGCAGGGGCTGCCAAAATCAGGCACTACCCCCCTGACCTCAAGTGTATTTCTGGCAGCCACAGCACGCTCAAGTGAAATTACTCATCAGGATTCTTGGAATTAGAAAAATGACATCAGCATTGCTTTTCCGAGCAAGAGATGCCAATGTTCATTCCATGCTGTTCTTTGAAGTCCAGCTGATGAATCTGGGCAATTCACTGGGAAACACATGCCCATCAGGGATATATAAGGTAAGTAGGACTGAGATTTGCTTCCTTAGTGACGTAGCAGAGGGATCCACACTCTCTTGCATTTGTGTTGCTTAAATCTCGACTCACTTAAAAATACCATCCAAAATATGGAGAAATATGTGGCTTTGGCTCAATTCTTACCCAAACCAAATGGAAACAAAATTTTCCTGCAGCCAGTTTGTAAGTTTAAAGCAGAACAATTCCACACACAACAGGCAAAAGCCTTCGCAAAAAAACAAAACAAAACAACCAGGGGCAGCAATGACCCACCCACTGACTCCTAGGAGGACATGATATTGATAGGATAGAGCACCTCACAGGTGTTCAGATCAAGATAAACAACCTGAATATCAAACCATAAGAAGACTGGTTCAGGTGCATGAGAATATTCTAGCCCAACAAATGCAACAGAATCCATGATCCATACAAAGGGTGAACAAGATAACAAAATAAAATCTCAGCGGCATCATAGTTAAAGTAGAAGCCTGTAGGCTGAGCTTTGACTTCTTATCGTTTTTTCCTCTTTGGCGCAGTGCTTCACACTTGCTGATGATCGTAAGGGCCCAAGCAGTGAGGTCCCTAATCGGATGGAGCTGAGAAGGATTAACTCCAGATTAGACTTTCATTGTGCGTTTGCTCTGCTTCACCCACAGGATTCTCCAGGCGGGGCAGAGTGGGACCAGGCAATACTGTCATCCTCCTTTTGCAATTCTCCCATTCGCTCCCACCACTTCAGCCAACGTCTTCCTATTAGTATTTCTACGAAAAACTCTGTTAAGGAGGGAAAGGCATAGTTGTCTCACCACGGCTTCTAGCACCAGCAGCATTGGCACCGATACTGAAAACCACCTAACCTACAGTGTTGCTACCATCTGAGGTTGCAAATGTCACTGTCGGGTCAATAAGTGAAGGATACCTCTGGATCACAATGTGTTCAATAAATAAAAAGATTGTGGTTGTGCTGAAAAGGCTCGCCTTGTATATATTTGCCAGGGCTTTAGTCCATGGATGAGATTGGTCTTCCCAAGAGGGCTACTAGGGCTTCCTCCAGCTTGAGCGGATCTGATATAGGATGTTTCTACAATATAAATGTATTCATGGATTTTCGCTCCCCATCGAACCCAAGGCAAGGTCGTTCTGCAAGGAGGACTGAATTCCCCCTCAGAATTCTAAGCACGCTCTCCAAATGACGGCTTTTGTGATCCTTTGGAGGAAGTCATGATGGTCCAACTGCTACAAAGGCAACACAAGCTTGAGGAGGCTTTCTGTGTCCACCTTCCTGTTGATTGTCCACCGTGAGTTATTTCCAACTATTTCTTCTCCAGCATTCAGCATACTGCTCCATTCCTGCCCCTGGCTGTCTTCAAGTCCCAGGAAAATGGATATATCCCCGTTCCACAACTCAAACTAGCAGCAATACCCAGGTGCTGGGAAACTGAGATCATGACCTTTTTTCATCAGCTGTAGTGCTTATAAACTCTTTGAAACTGATTTAAAACAAACACAAGCTTTGAGCAAAGCCAACTTTAATACACAATGTAGTTTTATTAAAGACACCAGAAATGTTAGAACTCTCAAGAAGGCGAAAGGAAATACACAAAGACCTTTTGAATTTTACATACCACCAGCACAGGACTGGGAACTGCACAGGCAAGAAGAAGGAAGAAACCATCACAAGAGGTGAAAGCTCACTCAGAGTTTCATTTGCTTGAAAGAGAACACAGAGCTGGGTTGCTATTTAATTTTTTAAAACTCCTTCTTAGTTCTTGTAAATAACACACCCATTGCTCAGAAATGTGGAAGGGTGGGGATAGAGATGGTGAGTGTACATAAAACATACTTGCTTCAGATATTTTTCTCTCCTGTTGGTTTCTAGACACGTGGTGGGAGAGGAATCTTGTGCTTCATTTTTCCGCAATGTGCTGGAACTCCGCAAGCAATAATACAAGGGGATGTTTAGGGATTGCTTCAGAAGGGCAAAGCTGGTACCAATATATTTATTTAGAAACAGCTGATCATGCTAAATGTGATCCCCTGAGTGTATTGCGACATCCGCCTCCCACTTTTGTCTTGTGGAAGTTCACAAACCCATGATGACCAGAAACAACAGTGTAACGGAAGGGTGTGTGGACACCTCAGAGACAAAGATGCTTCTGTCATAGCACCTCCAATTCTCCGGAAAATGTTTGTGTCTCTCTAGCCTCAGCCATGGAAGAAGGCAGCTACAGCTCTTCCAGAAATAGCCTTTCTGTATACTTCAGAGATTTGCTTTAAGCCACTTAGAATTTTAAAGATGATAAGAAAGATCTTTTTTTAAAGAAGTCATCCTAGACTCATATAAAGTCACTGTTCCTTTTGCTGCCTCACCGTTGGAGTAGTTTAAGCACAGAAAAATACCTTCTGCTTCATGTAAGAAGTTCCTAGACTAACCTATGATGTTAGCCTTGCTTCTGGGCTCTGAGCATGTGTATGTGGGGGTGGGGGGGAGATGTTAGATGAAGCACCACCATCCCCCAAAATAGCATTATTTTCATCACCTGCTGAGGTATAAAAGTAGTCCTGGGGTACCTGAAACGCTCACAAATTTGTTGTGGCAAGTACTTTGGAAGACCAGAGTTTTGGTGAATGAAGCTGCTGGGTGTTTCTTGTTCCCAACATGTAACATTTGAAGTAAAGGAAATGCTGCGCAAAACACGCAGGCTGTGGAAGGATTTACAAATGGACTATCTGATAATATATGGAAATGGAGTTTATGAAAGCAGCACCTCTGATGTGGGGCTTTAATCTTTAGTTTTAATATAGTCCACCCTGCTTCTTAGTCATCCAATGGGCCTGAGGCAAAGCCACTAGGCTAAGTGTAAGAACGTCTTAGAGTTGAGTGCCAAGCCTTCTGTGGCCGAGTGTGCACCTGAGGTAAATTGGGAGAATCATGCCACAAACTGCATTTTTTTTAAAGCTGAGCCAAACCACTTCAGAACCTGCAGAGGGGTGGTGATCACATGTTCCAAGGCTTCCATCATGCCTCAGAAGCCTCCTATAGAAACAAAATTAATATGTTGGGCTGATAAGTAGGCTAGAAATCCTCCTTTCTTTGAGACTGGCTCTGTATGCGCAAGGAGTTCTTTCTTTCCTTCTTTTTAGAAATGGGAAGGGAGGTGTTCAAACATGTGACTCCCGTACCCAGAGTCTGGAGTGGTACCCAGTTTTAAAAGGGGACCCATCTGGTCATAGCTTATAGCATGGGAAGTGTTGTACTAGGCAGAATAACAGGGCATTGGTCTTATTTCTGTTTCGGTGTTGAGGAAGTGTGGTGCTTGCGGGTGACAGTAACCAGAAAGTGCGTATATTGAAGGAGGGGATCATCTTTCAATCCTGAAGCAGGGGCTGTCGAATGCTTTGCATGTCTTAGGTGCTTATTCTTTTGCTCAAGGAGCTTGTGGATGACACGACCTTCACACTGGAGCCACCCCCTCCATAGCTATACCCGCCACCAGTGATGCTTCCAGAACCGCTCAGGCTGCCTCCACTGCTAAACCGGCTCACTCGTCCTCCTCCACCACTGATGTGGCTGTGTCCATAGCTACCTCCACCTCCTCCGCCGACACTCAAGGTGCTTCCCCCTCCGATGCCATATCCACTTCCCCCTCCAAGGCCGTATCCCGCAGAGCCTCCTCCTCCTCCACTGATGGTGCTGGAACTGCTGACCACAGCTGTGGGGATAGAAAATCACGTCCAATTTTGTCCCTCTGTCCCTCACTTCCAAATGTAGCTGAATACTGAAGTAGATACTTACAGATGTTGACCGGTGTTGTGAAATCGCTTGACATCCTAATTGGAGAAACAGGAAAACAGCATGTTACAATAAGAACAGATGGTGCCAAAATAGCTCAGTGCCCTTGTTTGCCACAGTGACTGGTTTCGTGGCTGGAGGAAGTGAGGTGAATGTCACATGCTCACACCTCAAGGAAGATTCCTTGGATCCATGTGACAAAACCTGAAAATGAAACCCTAGGGCAGTCTTCCTCAGCCTGGTGCCCTGAAGAACTTTTAAAATAACATGGAAAATAGCCAGGAATGGTGGGAGTTGTCATTGCAGAAAAATATGGAGGGGAAACTATGATAACATGGGCATAAAATTTTGGATATAATATTGAATTAGAGAAGTGGCAAAAGCTGTGGGAGAGAAATATTAAGGTAACATTAGCAACTTCGTATAAAGAAAACTTGTATAACATGTTTTATAGATGGTATCTGTCGCCAAATAGATTAGCTAAGATGTTTCCAAATATGTCAAATGGATGTTGGAAATGCAAACATAAATTGGGTACTTTTTATCATATGTGGTGGACTTGCAATAATGTGAAAAAGTATTGGATTAAAATACATAAATGGCTCGAGGAAATGTTACAAAAATCCTTAGCTTTTAAACCTGAAGTTTTTTTATTAGGCATTATACCGGAGGACATTAGTAAACAAGAAATGTATTTGATTTTACATGTAATCACTGTGGCGAGGATTGCATTCGCTCAACACTGGAAAAGTGAGGAACTACCCACCAATGAACTGATTCTAAAAAAGATTCTGGACTGTGCAGAAATGGATTGATTGACTTTATCACTGAAGGAGAAAGAAGATACTGACTTCTATCAAACTTGGGACTCTTTTTATTATTGGCTAGAGAAACGGGACTTGGCTTAGATTTAAATACGTTTCTAAATTATCATAAATGGAAAAAGAAGGGTGTGGGGGCTGACCCAGCGGGCTCGATGTTTGTGATGATGGATGTTGTTTGTAGTTTTCTTTTTGTCCTTGGTTTTTTGTTTTTTTTTTAGGATTATAATTTCAAATAAAACTTATTCAGAAAAATATGGAGGGCAGCAGGTTAGGAAAGGGTGGCCTAGAGAAGGTCGCAATAAAATGAGAGTGCAGTCATTTGTGGGGTGGGGGGAATAAAACTGTGGAGGTAGACTATGACAAAGAGATGCACACAAGTTTCCCAGGCTCCTCAGTGGTAGCTCCTATTTGTGGAGCTTTATCTTAATAGCTCTGCACACCAATTTTGCCAGATTAATGGGCTTTGGACATTCATTTGTTTCAGGACATCCGGAATCTTTTAAGTTGCTTGCCCCCAAGCTTAGACCTCTTGAACTTTGCTATTGGCTCCCCTCCTGTTCTATAGTCCTGCCTTTCTCAAATTCCCTGGGTCATGCATGTTACACTGAAAGCCAGCAATACATTGACTCCCAGCTTCCTCCCTGAAATGTTGACAGTCTAGGTCTCCTCAACGAAAGGTCTGAAAAACACTTATATGGATGATGATGATGACGATGATGATGATGATGGGTGGACATATTTTGATGAATGTCACGAACATCTGACTGGGGAAGGCTGACCTAAGGCTACGTTCTGTTTGGTGTCCAGCACTTGTCCATCCTATCCATGCTTTCTCTGCCAGTCTAGACACCTTGCTCTAGAACTTCCCAACTTGATGCCCTCCAGAGGCATTATGGAAATGAAGGCTGACCTACCTTCTTCACTGTAGGGACTTTCTATGGTCTTCCTACCTCCACCCTACTGGACAGTGGCTGCTTACTGGCCTTCCTTTGAAAAGAGCCAGAAGCCACATTTAGACAAAAACGATGGATCCCCAGATGGCAGGGGGTTTGCACCTAGCTCCATGTTCCACTGCACATGTCTGCTTTCCTGGCCTGCACCCACCTGATCTCCTCTCCCTCTAACAGGGTTTTGTAGGTGGCGATCTCCACGTCTAAGGACAGCTTCAAATTCAACAGCTCCTGGTAGTCCCGCAGCAGGCGAGCCAGCTCGTCCTTGGATTTGGCGAGGGCCGTCTGCAGGTCAAGCAGCTTCGTCTGCGCGTCTTTGAGGGCCAGTTCCCCACGTTGCTCACATTCTGCGATGGAAGAGTGCAGGCCGTTGACCTGAAAAAAGAAATGGAGGAATGGAGCATCTCTTGGCTACTGCTCCTGACTTGCCTTCTAGCTTCTTGCCCAAAACACTGTTCCAGGAGGAAGAGGAAGTAGGGAGAGTGGCGATTGTCTGTGTGCCTGCCCATGTGTGGATCCTGCACTATCCATTTGGAGAGCACCACAGGTCCTTCAAAAATAACCTGAGGGCTGATTTGGCTTTGCACACTCCGAACTGGCCGAGATACTTTATGGCCAGTACAGAGTTGCACCAAAATGAGCAATCAGTCATTGTATACAGTACACACACACACACACACACACACACACACTGCTGCTGCTTTGACTGGTGAGGGCTTTGCTCACTGTAGCCAGTACTGTGGGTATTGTTTGTATGCAATGAGGAACGGAGACTGGGAGAGCAGTGCTGGTTTCGGACAGGGAGTGACAGCCTGGTTGTGTCTGGAAAGGCAACATTTGCACATAGGAAGGAATGGAGCAAACTGATTCCATAGTGAGGCTGTGTGCCTTGTTTGGCAATTTCCCTGATGCTCTCTTGGCTCTGATCAGTTCTACCTCCACCACAGCTCTGCACTGGAGATCCTTGTAGTAAAAATCAGGAGGAAGATGTTTTAGACACCAGATAGTGCAAGATTTTCGCCACGTCATCCAACTTTCCCTCCATTGTTCCACTGATTGTTGCCTAGCCCTCTGTTGCTCATGTTTCATAACCCTGCATTCCACCTTTTCTTTCTTTCTTTTCTTGAAAGCTCACCTCCTTTCCTAAAGCAAAGGTACTGGAGCTTTGACCATTGCTAATTTATTGTAAGCCGCCCCAAGATGTTTGTAGTGGAAGGGTTAGAAAAGCTTTTAATAAATAAATATGGTAAGGCCAGGTGCCATTCAGAGGATAAGAAGTACAGTTCCACTATGTAGGATATATGATGTAGTCTGTAGGCATTCAGTGAGGTTCTATAGATGAAACTAAGCACATCTGGACCTGTGAGTTGCCTGGATGAAAGCTATGCGTACCCATGCCTTGGACCCATAGGTAAGTTGCTCTGAGGTCCTTGGAGAAGAAATCAAGTGTAGTAAACAAACATCTGCATAAAAGGAATCAGTTTTGCTAGCCCGTGAATTGCATGAGATTCATCCTGGGATGGGTCAAACCCTGGGCTAGACTTTCACAGGAGACAAAAGTGCGAGCCTCAAGACATCAGTAGCTGCCTCAATCGGTTGGTTGCCTCAAAAACAGTCACAAGCTATGTGGAAAATAGAAAGCTCCCAAAGGGTATATTGTGTCTTACCGCTTTCTTCACTATTTCAATTTCAGAGCGAAGTCTTTGGACAACCCGGCTCATTTCTGCAATCTCATCTTTCGTGGATTTCAATTCATTGCCGTGTTTGTAAGCTGTTGTCTGCAGTTCCTCGAACTGATAGAACAAAGCAAAGAACAAAACTGTAGCCATGAGACAAGGCATTTCAGCACAGATACTGAAAATAGAAATCACTTAATGCTGCTAACCCATGGCTTGCTCTTCACAGATAAGCACACACACAAGATCTTTGGACCAGGTGGTCATCTTGAATATACATCCAGAACAATTCTTATACACACAGATCAGCATGCGTGTTGTAGTTCATGCTTAGCTGAACATCGGCTGAGGAGCAGATGGAGAGAAACCATGTGATCAGACCCAAACAAATAGTTCTGTCTTGTATGTATTACCAGCAAGGTGTAGGAAGGAAAGCTGGGAAAATGTCACCTTCTTTTGCCATCAAAAGTAAGTAAAACTGACTCTCAAGTCAGAAGGATCAAGGAATATAGAGGGCTGAGAACCCCTTTCAGGCTTCAAAGAGTTACAGAGAAGACATTCCTGGTTACAAAGCCATTCAATCAGTTGTCATTCATTTTAGGTGGCATGCTGATTCATTTTCTTAAAAATTTAGGGATCAGCTATAAGCTGTGTTTGAGAAGATAAGAACTGGCTAAAGGAAAAAGGAGTTTTTTCATTATGCATGTCATTAAAGGAAAGACCAAGAGCCAATCTGAAATTATTTTTCTTGAGCTCTTGTATCTCAGACTTTACTACAAGAACTTATATTGAAAAACTGCCAGTAGCACCACCCATGGGATTTGACGTGCTTTCTTAAATGCTGTATCTGGATTTGCTTTGACAGTTGATGATCTGCTATCTTGGTTCTGGATGACACACCTCACATTTCAGAGATCTTACATTCTGGTGTGGGGAGAACAGCTTGTTTTTTAAATTTATTTGTGCATTTATTAAGGCATTTTTATACCATTCCTATTTAGGCAATGACTCTCAGAATGGTTTAAAACATACTGTGTTTCCCCAAAAATAAGACCTAACTGGAAAATAAGCCCTAGCGTGACTTTTCAGGATGCTCATAACATAAGCCCTACTCCAAAATAAGCCCCAGTTAAGATTGTCAGCCAGATGGATGGAGAAACACAGGAGTACATCCCTTGCAACACACGACAGATGTATTGAATTACAAAATAATAATGCCAATATATAATTAAATATAAATTCATAATATTATTGATATTAATACTTAAAATAAATGATAATATACATTATAATTAAGTATTTGTAAATACGGAAGTGGGTGCCTTTGGACGAGAGGTAAATGCCTATGTAAACAGATGACTGCGAGACCAATCAGAGTACAGACAACGCACAAACAGGTCCTAAACTGTTTAGGGATGTATAAGTTACTTTAAGTACCTTAAAATGGGCCCAGATGTCACCTGGAAGCCTTGGCCTACCCACCAGGGTCTTGTCAGGAGGCAAGCTGCCCTGCTTTGAACCAATTGCAATTTCTAGACCGTTTTTATGGGCAGCTCCCTCTAGACCAGGGGTCTCAAACTTGCGGCCTGCGGGCCACTTCGGGGGAGGGGCTCTGCGGCCTTCAAAGCACTGGCGGCACCCGGGCCGGCCTCTGGGAGCCACGCGGGATGAGCGGCCCCCCACCCCCGCGGTGGTGGGATACTCGATGCGGCCCAGCCTCACGCAGACTCTACTTCCAGCTGCCCCCAGGTAAGTTGAGTTTGAGACCCCTGCTCTAGAGCACATTGCAATAGTCCAAGTGAGAAGTTACCAGGGCATGGATCACTATTGCCAGGTTTGGCCTGTCTAGATAGGCACAAGTTGGAAAATCAGCCAAAACTGATAAAAGGCACTCCTGGCCACAGACAAGAACAGTTTTGAATTCCAGTATACATTTTGGAACAGTTAATAAATGTTCTTTCAAATCCATGTTGGTGAGGTTTTGTGTTTGTTGTGACTCTCACCTTGCTTTGGTACCAGGTGTCGGCCTCGGCCCTGCTCCTTCTGGCAATTTCTTCATACTGAGCTCTGACTTCTTCAATGATGCTTTCCAGGTTCAGGCTTCGGTTGTTGTCCATTTGTAGGATAACATTGGTCTCCTGAACCTGCGACTGGACCTGAGCTATTTCCTGTGGGGATTAGAAAGTCTGTGGTTATCCACAGGATATCACAATATCCTGGTCTTTACATCACGTGATTTCTGGCACCAGTATTTGCTTGCTCGTCTGTAGATTAGTAGTATTTTTAATCTCATTTTTCAATTCAAGAAATGCTTAAGGCAGGTTATAAACTTAACAAAAGGGGATTTGTGGAGGAGGAGCAGGAGGAAAAGGAAAAGAGGAGGAGGAGGAGGAAAAGGAGGAATAGTTTATTCTCTTTCTACTTAAGACCCCAATCCTGTCCTTAAGTGACATTTGAGACAGATTGACAGAGAGAGAAGTTATTTTTCTGAAAACTCTTCCCTGATGTTTACCTTTATAATTTCTCAGTGAGATGTTCCGAGCATCAACAGAATCCAATTTTGAACTCATGGCATTTAATTATGGGTCTTTTGAAAGGGTGGATGTTTACTTCCCGCACCGCACTAAATGAAGGGCTGCTGCAGGCTCGTATGAGAAAGGAGAAGCTCTGCATTTTAGAGCCTCTTGCAGCAGGAGGCAGCCTTGCCGTCTCCAGCCCCTGATGCTTGCAGCTGGCCTGGCCTTTGCTCAATAGGGAGGATGCGTCTGTCTGCAAAGATCATATGTCTGTGTGCCAGCCCAGGGAGGCTAGTGAGGTGCCCCCAGCCAACCTGTTTTAAGGACCGGTGGACTTAACTCGAGTTAAAATAGTGACCAGATTGAAGAGAGACACTCAGCTTTGGGTGCTTTAAGAACAAGTCAAAGACATCGCTAATTTTAACAAGGGACACATCAAAGTTATTGCTCTAATAGTCTGCCTAAGGCTATTTGGTGAAGTGTAGCAACCCCGTGCGAAGGCTGAGCAACTGCAGGAGGGCCGGGGCCATTTGTGCCTTCCTGGTGCCTCCCTCTGTGGACTGAACTATTTTTTTTAATTTTTAAAAAATAACAATAATTTAAAATATCATTGGATGCAACACAGTGGCTATCCATTCTGAAGTTCTCAGTAGCATGGGCAGTGCTAAATTCAGCTTGCCTACAGTCAAAACGCAATTCTTGGAGCACTCTTGGAGCTGATATGGGCTGCTCATAGCACCCTTTGGGTTTTGTTCTGTTGATGTTTTTAAAATTGAGTGTGTCCAGGGCAGTGGTAATTGGAGAGCACAAGACCCACAGCCAATGTTGCCCACCCCAATGTTGTTGGCTGTGGAAATGCATCATTTGTGTGTGTGTGTGTGTGTGTGTGTGTGTGTCACATACACTGGGTAATGCAGTTGGCTTAGGAATACACTCTCCTGAAAATACAGTACAGACGAAAAGACGCTTACCTCCTCAAAGAGTGTTTTTAAGAACTGGATGTGCTGTATCAAAGAATCAACCTTGGATCCCAAGTCTATCTTGTGCATGTAGGAGCCATCAACATCCTTAGGAATAAAAATAAAGTTGCGGGTGTTGAGCAATGCTTGTAACAGGGCCTGATGTGTGATGTGGGCTGCAGAGTGTATTAGTGTGATGCACAAGAGCAATGTGCATTGAAAAGGCCAATGTGGACGTACCCTACAATCAAAAACAAGTCTAAAGGAAGAAGTTTTTATTTTGCAAACTCTGATTCAATAGCCAAAATCTGAACTTTTTGAAACTAGACATTCTGGGTAGGAATTCTGAAAAAATGCTGGATTGCAGAAGTGAGGCATATCAGTTCAGTTCTGCCATTAACTACTGTGTTCATTCATTAGCCCAAAACCTGCAGTTCTCTGGGTTTTGCATGGGTGCTATTGTGAGTGTGATTATTGAAAATGTGACACAAATCATGGAGCAGAGGAGATCCCCCAAATTATTTCAGCTTCAAGTTTCAAGGGCAGTTACCTTCTTGAGCACCACGAAGTCATTCTCACAAGCTGTACGTTTGTTAATTTCATCCTCATATCTGTTGGAACAAATAGATTATATTATTTGAATGATCCACATCAACAGAGCATCAAAGAGCTTGAAATTCTTAACAGTGGTCACTGTGCGTGTGTTCCATTCTGACAACACTGTGAGGCAGGTGCAGTCAAGAGATGTTGAAGCACCCAAAGGCTTGCAAGAAGCTCTAAGCTTCAATAGAGAGATCAATCCCAAGACAGCACCCCATCATCAGCATGACTGCAGTGACCCCTCACGGCATCAGAATCAGACAGCAGGTATAACCTTATTTTCACTAACAGGAGAGAGTGAAGGTTGAAACTATGGAACCTCCTTTTTTGATGTAGTTTGAAGATGACCATGCTCATAACTCCTGTTGACCTCTGGTATGATGTCAAGGAAGGGAGCCTCTCAGGTACATTGGGCTGAGAGTGGTTGATCTCTTTTGATGGCGGTTGTGGAGCTCTGAAAGCTGAAGGTTCATGGCCTTTCTCTCCAGCCCCCTTCACCATGGCTAATCTGATGTCATAAGTGAGAACTAAGCAATGGAGTGCTAGGGGAACTGGGGAGATCTTCAGATGGGTATTCAGTTTGTTTTATTGCACATAGCTGATCATAAAATTTCAACAAGAAAAGGGGAGGGGAGGGGAAATGTGGCTACACAGATTTGCCTATATGAGCTGGAATTCTATGGTGATGGAGTCACATCAGTCTCAGGACTGCCTGTGCGCTGGAAGTCTCTTAAGGGCACCTTATCAGTGCAGAGGAAGTTCCAGACATTCAGAGGAAGACCTGCTTCCATGAGAGATTAAGCAGCCTTCCCTCAGAGGAGGCCTGGCCTCTTCTTTCAGCCAAGGGCCAGATCCATTTTAGAAAAGCTCCTGGGGGCTGCATTCCAGTGACTGGTATGGAAAAACAATAAAGCGATGGGGAAAAAGAGTAGCATATTTTTTCTTAGAAACATAGTGAGTCAGAAGAGAGCTCTGACCCCAGGCTCCAGCCAGCTCTGCTCATGTAATACCCAACATGATGGCACAGTACCAGTAACTAAACCTTCCAACAGATTTCTAGGAAGGGGGAAGGTGCTTCACAATACCCAAGAAGACATCAAATAATTAGTGATTGCAGAACAGGAGTTGGCCAGTTGAAGGGGCTGAGCTCTCTGGGAAATGCCGGGGAGTCCAGACCTGGGACTCCCCATCCCTTAGAAGGTGCTCTGGGTGTGTCCCCTCAAGACAAATGGGCTAGACCAGGTTAAGGACAGGCAACCTTTGGTGTTGTTGGGCTCTAATTTCAAGCATCCTCAAGCAACGTGTCCAGTGGACACCCAGTGATGGCAGAAGATGGAGTGACGATGAAGGTGATGGTGGGCCCTCTGCTCAGCATGTGTCTTTTTGACTGGACTGGCAAGCACTTTCTTCAACAAGAACCAGAGGAGGAGACACTTCAAGCAACGCACAACTTGTGAATGGTGGCAATACTTGTTCTCCAAAGCAGGAGGAGATTTGCTGGTGCCACTGAAAAAGCAGACAGTACATGTATGATCTCAGTCTTTCATTAAAGATGAGCACAGCAAGGTGATATTTGAAGTGGAAAGAGAGAAAGAGAAGGGGAAAGGGCGTTTGCTCCAGGTGGAAGGAATCCCAGGCTGGATAGCAGGGAGACGGGGCCAGAAGAAGGACGTGATGAAGGTGTTGCAATGAATGAGACGGAGCAGAGGAATGCAAAGTCTCAGTGTCACCCACTGAAGCCAAATCCGAAGGACCAAATGGCATGTTGCATTAATCACGTGGCATGTGGCTGCCCCCCTCTCTTGTTTTCTCACTCTAGAGTAAATGTAAGTGGCTCCAATTGGATCAGGACTGCCCTACACCAAGAAGGAAGCATTCAATCTCTCCTCCCCCAGCTGTTTTCTTCCTCAAATTCAGACTGTTTATGCACAGGGGTTAAATAAAGAAAAGAAACCTCCATGGTTTCTACAGGAGGCTTTTTGTTCATATAACTCCCATGCAGGGTAGGTGTGTTTCCGGAGCAAACAGGTGGGGGATGTTTAATCCCCTCCTCCCTGTACACGGTGGTCTGAATCCGGAGCACCTGCACTTACTCCAGAGTAAGAAAACAAGAGATGGGACAGCTGCATGCTAGATAATGCTAGCATGTTGTCTAGACGGATAGTCTGTGTAAATTCAAAGAGTCTAGATGGAGCTTCGGGTTTGTGGTTTAGCAGTGGCAGTCTGAACCAAGCCAAAATGGTTAGAGTGTTGGATTGGGACATGTAGTCCGAGGATCTAATCCCCACTCAGCCATGAAGCTCATTGGTTGACTTTAGGCCAGTCACCCATTCTCAGCCTAACCTACCTCATGGGGTTGTTGTGAGGATAAAATGTAGAGGAGGAGAAGGAGGGTTATGTAAGTAACCTTGGGTTTCTTGCAGGAAAGAAGTGGGATATTAATATAAGAAATAAATGCATAAATATGGAAGATAAGGGGGCCACAAAGAAGATGCCTAGGCAAAAGCTAGAGAGATCATGGACTGGTGGTCAGAAACCAGGGGAGGCTGCTGAAATGTTGGAAGGAAATATGGTGGGTGGTAGGACACTGATAGAGGGGTTCCTCCCTTAAATAACTGACAATCGTAGGAAAGGATTCCATAATCTCTTTGATGAGAAGCAAATCAGAAACTAGCACTGTTTGGCCTGTTCTGTACCCAAATCCAAGGCCTTCCCCCATCCCCACCTCTCACTTTTACATACTTGTTCTTGAAATCCTCCACAAGCTGTTGCGTGTTCTTCAATTCAACGTCCAGGTGATTTTTATCACCGATGAGGCTCTCAAGCTGCTTCCGGAGGTTTTCAATGTAGACCTCGAAGAGGGGTTCTATGTTGTCTCTCAGAGCTGGGCTGCCCTGCTGGCACAGCAGGTCCCACTTGGTCTCCAGCACTTTGTTCTGTTGCTCAAGAAATCGCACCTAAAATGGAAGGGAAGAGATGGTGAAATGGTGTCTATTGGCACATGCAGGTGTTCATCTTCAGGAGACAACCTGGGAAGTCTCTGGACCTTGGTCAAAAGGCTTTCCATGTGCATACTGGGTTGGACCAGGATGCACAAGGAGAAATGCATGCTCCTTCCTCAACCATTCCTTCCTCCCTTTGGGACTTTCAAAAGGGTTTGTTTGTTTCTTGTTTTAGAGTTGGAATAAAATGTTGCACCATTGTAAAAATCAGCAATCTTTAACACTGGAAAAAAAAACTAGGCATCTGAATGGTGATATTTTAAGATTTGATTTTTGAAAGGCAATGAAGCAAATACAAGTTGGAGTGATATGTTTTTGTGGCAGTAAATGTTACAGTGCCACATTTCTAAAAACCAAATGGTGTGCATTACTAGAAGGGATGCAAGCAGAAAAGGTGCTGGAAGACTATCAGTTCATTCTGCTAGAGTCCAGCAGACTTTTGATGCGTTTCTGACCCAATGGCCAGAAGGAGACGGAGTCAGGCAGGGAGGGGCTCATCAGCTTCCACAAAACTGCCTGCAATGTTTGCACCAGTTTGAAACCAAAAAATGTGAGTCTCTTTAGCTAGAATCTCTAGCATGATTTATGCAGCTCTCAATCTGCACAATTTGGGGCCAACTTGATAGATAAGAATTATGGCTGTTGTTCTTGTTTTAGGATTTTTCACAAAAGCCTCCTATTTTTATCATGTGACCCACATGCTCCACCTTGGCCACTTTGAATTTTCTGACAGTTCATTTCAGTTTTGTGTGAAATTCAGATGTCCACTTGTGATTTGTACAAATTTACGCAATCTGGACAGACTTATCCAATTTGCACAAATTTGTGGAGCAGACTCCTCAGTCTGATGTAGATTTTCAGTTCTTAAAAAAAAAAAACACACAGATCATGGGCTGCTTTAAAACTGGAAGTTCACATGCTGTCTAGATTAGAATCAGATAAAGTCTGCAACTTGTAATGTATGACTGTGAGAGCTGGACCATAAGGAAGGCTGAGCACCGAAGAATTGAAGCCTTTGAATTGTGGTACTGGAGGAGACTCCTGCGAGTCCCTTGGACCGCAAGGCGTTCGAACCAGTCAGTCCTAGAGGAGATCAACCCTGACTGCTCTTTAGAAGGCCAGATCCTGAAGATGAAATTCAAATACTTTGGCCACCTAATGAGAAGGAAGGAGTCCCTGGAGAAGAGCCTAATGCTGGAAACAATAGATGACAAAAGAAGAAGGGGATGGCAGAGGATGAGGTGGCTAGATGGAGTCACTGAAGCAGTTGGTGTGAGCTTGGGTGGACTCCGGGGGATGGTGGAGGACTGGAGAGCCTGAAGGAATGTTGTCCATGGGGTTGCGAAGAGTCAGGCACGACTTTGCAACTGAACAACTACAAGAAAGTCGGCAGCAGTGCAGGGTTAATGGAACAGATTTTATGGGCCATATTTTGAAAGTTCATCATATTTCCCCCCCACCCATTGGGTTCCCCACACACCTCTGATTGCAGGTGCATGAATCTGCTCAACATATTCCTGCTCCTTACTTGTGTATACCTTGTTGGCTTGATTACTGGAGCAGGAGAAAGAGCAGAACATAAAGAAAACCTCGAACCCCACTCTAAAGTTAATAAGGAGTCGCATGAGGCTCTGTTGCCTTCTTTTTCTTAAGTTTTATTGAGCAGTGCCTAAAAGGTATTTTATGGTATGCCTACACTATTAAAAAAAACAACTATCTCTCTCTTTTATTCCTTTACTAGTTTGCAGTTAGCACTGATAAATAGCAACTGCAACTACTGTTTTGGTATTTGTATAGCACCTTAGAGGCTGGATAAGACTGTTTCTAAATGCACACTAACAAAGAAGCCTCTCCAAAGGCCACAATCCTTTGGAATATTCCTGGATGGAAATGTTTAAAATAATATATTATTTTAAACATTTCCATCTGGAATGCATCAAATTATATCAAATGGGGCTTACATAAAAGACTAAAAGTGCAGTTTGTGAATGTTAGACAGAAAAAGATCCAAGACTCCCATAGTCCCTCAAGCCATTCATGCTGGGAAATGTAGGACATTTTCTGTCCAAAGAGGCATAGGATCCCTTCCTAAAAACTAAGATAACAATTGAAGCATAGTATTGTTGGTGATGCTATCCTAAATTCTCTGAGAAGAAGCCAATGCCTGGATTAGATCTCTCCTTCTGAGGGTGCAAAGAGAAGTCACGCCTCAGAAGTGGAGACCTGACCTCAGAAACTTCCAGTCCCATAGTAGAGTTAGAAGGGGTCATGAAGACCACTGGGTCCACCCCCCACTGTTGCAGGACACCAATTTACACCGTCCCATTCAGATGTCTGTCCAGTTTCTTTCTGAAGGTCTCTAGTGTGGGAGAGCCCACCACCTCTCTAGGCAGCTGGTTCCACTGTTGTATTGCTCTTACAGTGAGGAAGCTTTTCCTGATGTCCAGCCTGAAGCTGGGTTGTCACAGCTTGAACTGATTATTCTGTCTCCTGCACTCTGGTGCCAGCAAGCAGAGATCTTGCCCTTCCTCTCTGTGACAGCCTTTGAGGTACTTAGGGAGGGACATTCTGCCCCCCCCCCCCCCCCGCCTTCTCTTCTCTAGGCTGGACATGCCCAGTTGTCTCAGTCTCTCCTCGCGGGGCAGTGTTTCCAATCCCTGGGGCATTTTTGTTGCCCTCTTCTAATTTTTCTGCATCTTTCATAAATCTTGGTGTCCAGAACTGGACAGTGTTCCAGATGAGGTCTGGCTAGTGGGGATTATAGAGGAACTACTACTTCTCATGATTTGGAAGTAATACTTCTATTAATACATCCCAAAATAGCATTTGCCCTTTTTGCAGCTGCATCACATTGTTGGCTCATATTTAGCCTGTTGTCCACAATAACTCCAACGCCTTTTTCTTTTTCAGTTCTGTTGAGCCACATATTCCCTATCTTGAAGAACTGCTCAAAATAGGGAAGTGAGAATCAGCAAACTTTGAGCTTACCAAAGTTCTCAGAATTCTATCTCTAAGCTCATTCTGACTCAAGGCCACATCAGACTTAAACCTCTTTTTATTCTTGCATGAAAATCCATGCATTTTTTGTGCATAGTTTTCCATATGTATTCCTAAACTGTGCACATCTTTGATATATATCCATTCTTCTTTCATTGATTAAAGTGTCTTTGTTAGCATTATCTTTGTGGACAATTTTCAAATGCACCCATGCTGTCCAATGTGGGGGGGGGGTGTACAAATAATATTGAAAAGTCAGAAACGTCCGAACTTTGGCCACAAATTACTGTACATCTGAGTCTGTGTTTGTTCCAGAAGATGCAAACTGAGTAAACTCTGATCAAATATGAGCTAAAATGAATGCCTCACACATTTCTCGCTCAAAGTACCTTCCTTCAATGCCTACTCTGATCCTGAGAAGTCAGTGTTTTTGTTGTCAGATGTTGATGTGCACATGTCCCACCGAGAATCTCTTTTAGCTCTTCCAGCTAAAAAGATAAGGACTAGGGAGTCTTTGAAGGGGACACTGTCCTGAATTACACCTTGTCCGTCTTTTAGTATTATGTTTTAATATGTTTGATTGATGGTTTTATTTAATTCAATGTTTTACCTTGTTAATTTGTAATGGCCTATGGCTAAATGCAATACACTGACTGACTGACTGACTGACTGACTGACTGGGAAAGCCTTAGAAGTGAGTATGCACTGATCTTGATAATCCAGTCATGCTCTTTTCCTCTCCTTTGTGATCAATTGACTTATGCTTAACCAATAAAAAATATGAGCGTTCTTCAAAAAGTTTCTGCACTTTTAAAAATTCTATTAAGAATTTCAAAAACAAATTACACTTTTCTACATAGTCACCTTCCTTTGTGATGCGTTTTCCCAACTTTTTAATGCCATCAGCAAAAAAATAAGAAATACATTAATAAAATATAAAAGTGCGGAAACTTTTTGAACACCCCTTGTATATTTGCAAATATATGGAATACACAGGTGCATTTCCTATCGGTTGTTTCCTAACACAGCTATGAAGACATTCTCAAATTATTCCAGAACACAAGCTTTTACACTGTGGGAACTGAACACAGATTGACTCTTCCAAGGACATGCTGGGTGGCCTTGGGAAAAAGACTACCTAGATCAATGCTTCAGATCCTTCATCTGTAACACAAGAACCTCAGTGATAAGAAAGCTAGCCTGGAGGGATGTTGTAAGAACTAACGAGGTAATGATTTTAAAAGCTTGGCAGGAGGACCAGGTGCTGCTGCCAAATAATTCCCAATGTGGGGCTCGGAAACCCTTGGTTACTCCTTGACAAAAAGGTAGGACTGGCCTTTGTTGGAGGGCAGCCATGCTGGGCATCTGGAAGGAAGAAGCTGATTCTGCCAGAGGCAGTGGGAAGCAGCTGCTCTTTTAAGCACCTGAAAGATGGACAGCACTCCCAAAGACAGGTTCTCTCCTTTAGCCTGCATTAGTTTCAGTGCCTCTCAAACTGTGAGATGTTGAAGAAAATTAAAATGCATAACTTTTCACATATTTCTCCTCATGTATGCAATTTTGCAGGCAATATTATCTAACATGCACAAATTTGTAAGCAGTTTTCCTAATATAATCATTTGAATATTGGTTTTGCTATTAGAAAGACAGAAATTTGGGGGCATGTTCCCCCATTATACACATTTTTTGTGTGCATGTTTTGTCTGGAACATCACACTGTAAAAATTCAGAAAACCAGGTATTTTGGAGGATACTTTGTTTCATGATTTGGTGCCAAGTTGCAAAAGAAGTCAAGTTCATATTCACCAGTGAACTGAACATATTTTTTCCTCATCTCTGTGTATTATCGACTCAGGTGAGAGTGACTTTGGACTGGCCTTCTTCAGTGCAAGGAATGGCCTCCATTTGCACAGCTGCTCTTCGACATGCAAGCAGTGCAGCTTGCACAGCACATGGGGCTCGATTTTCAGCGCCCGCCCCACAAATGCTGGGCACAGTTGTCAGGAATTCAGATTCTGGGACTCTGCGAAGCAGACAGGAGTCTTGGGAGCCAAGCCCAGGAAACCACCAGAATCCCAACCGTGGGCAGATTCCTCTCAACCCTACACACACAATGTGTGTGTGTGTATTGTTCCCAACACACAGTTTTGCATGCAACATTAGTACCTGCTTTGAACTGGATTTTCTTACATGAGAACTGCATTGGAACATTTGGAGAAGTTGGAAGAATATGCGTAGATCTGCCTATATTTGGCGAATGTGCATTGCATTTTTCTAGCCCTTTCTTGACTGGAGTGTCTGTGTGATTAAATCTTTTCACTTTCTCTCTGTCACTCTGTCAGTAGCTTTGAAATAACTATTAGTTTAATTAAAGGGGTCTAATACAGCTACGGATTCTGTTTTGAGTTGCTGAAGAAATATATATGCGACGACTTGTCCAAAGCGTATGTTTGAAAGGGAGCTTGGCATAAAATTGCCATTGTAAGTGTCAAATGTGGTTTTAACTGAGTTGGGATATTACATCTGCATTAATTTTCTTGAAATTTTGCCATCTAAAGGATAGCGACACTTCTTAAAGCATTCAGAGAGCTGCAAAAGGACAAATGCTGTACATGGAAAATCCAAAGAGAGAGAATGATGGCAAAAATATCCTTGCTTACACCAAGGTGCAATTTCTGAACTGTCATGAGGAACTGCACTCCCTTTCCTGGACTCTTCCAGTTCACCTTTCAGCGGGGAGAACTGTCATGTTGAGAGCCAGTGTGGTGTATTGGTTTGTGTGTAGGACTGGAGCCTCTCCATCTTATCCCCACAACAACCCTGTGAGGTAGGTTGGACTGCGAGTCTGTGACAGGCCCAAAGTCACCCAGTGAGCTTCTTGGCCAAGTGGGGACTAGAGTTCAGCTCTCCTGGGTCCCCAGTCCAACACTCAGGCCACCAGATGCCCCACAATTGTATTCCCCAGTAACTGATTCATACCTCAGGGAGAAAGCAAATAAAATGAGAGAGGTGATTCCGCAAGAATTCCACTTGCATTTTAAGCAGTATGCTTGGCTCATCTGCTGTCTAAAACATCTTTTTATTTAAAGCCCCAAAAAATTATCTCACAATGTTAGGAAGAGGAATCCTTATTTGAGAAGCACTGATAAAATCATGTCCCAAACACTTGCTTTGGAGAAAAATGACCTTTCAGGAATCCAACTGTTTGTGATTCACTACCACCTATGTATAAACATGACTGCAAAGTTACCCAAAGCCCTAAAAGAATGGGAGGTCAATGTCAGTGCAATTTTCATTTCAGAGCCGCCTTCTGCTGAATTAAGCCAACCGTTACTCCCACCAATGGATTAAATTTAGGGCAATGCTAGTATAATGGTATATTAGACAGTTCCTAAGAATGTGAGCCCTCGCAAGCTACAGAATCAGATTTTTGAGTACCTGTGATCAGCACTATGGCAAAGAAGCTAAAATTAGCTTGCTTGCACCAGAGCAGAATGAGAAGATGGTACCCAAGCTTCCTGAAGTCAAAGAATCCGGATGACATACACGGCAAATTTAGAAGCATACAAGTCACAGTTTGAATTGTGTTTTGCATCTGTTTTATCCTTTTTTTTTTTTTTTTTGCAAATGCCTGAATGAATAGACTCACATAGTTAGAACAGTGCCCAACCAATCGTCTCATCCAGCCCACTGCTCCCAGACAAGATATGCTTCCGATACTGCAAGCATCTCTGGGAATAGTCTGTCCAACCTTTTCTGGACAACCTCCAAATAGAGGAAGGATTCTCAACAATCTTCCCAGAGGTAACCAGTTTCTTTGCTGAATTACAGCTAGGAAGTTCTTCCTAACACACAAGCAAAGGTTTGAAAAATGTCCTTGCCCTAGAATTAAAATAGTTCCCAAACCTTAATACCAAAACCTTCAGGCCTAGTGATTTTGTCCTCCTTATTTTTTATTTATTTATTTATTTTTCGATTTATATCCTGCCTTTTTCCTACAAAGGGCTCAAGGCAGCTTACATCATTCTCCTCCTCCAATTTTATCCCCACAACAGCAACCCTGTGAGGTAGGTTGGGCTGAGAGTCTGTGACTGGCCCAGAGTCACCCAGTTGGCTCCATGGCTGAGCGGGGACTAGAACCCAGATCCTCTGAGTCCCAGTCCCATGCTCTTAACCACTACACCACACTGGCTCTCTTATGCCATTAGGCATTCAGAAAAATATCTATACGCTGAATTACATCATTCAAACCACCTGTACTGTGTGTGAAATGTTCTTCATTCCTGGTTTTAAAAATACTCCATCCTGTTTGTCCTCCGCATTCTCCTTTTTCCTTTTGTGATGCAGTACTTCCCGTGTCCCGTCTTACCTTGTCAATGAAAGAGGCAAACTTGTTGTTGAGGGTCTTGATCTGTTCCCTCTCTTGCACCCGAACCCTTTGGATCTCAGGATCAATTTCCATGTTCAGAGGAGCCAGGAGGTTCTTGTTGACAATGACATTGTGTATTCGCCCAGGTGCTGGGCCTGGGAAGGCATATCCACCACCACCAAGAGGACCGCCCAGGCCAACGCCACTGCCCAGGGCAACACCACCGCCAAAGCCAGCACCACCGCCAAAGCCTACCCCACCACCAAAACCTCCAAAGCCTGTGCTAACATTGCAGTATCCTAGCCCACCACTCAAACTTCTTCCACCAAAGCCAAAGTGACCTGCTCGGGAACCAGCAGAAGTTAGGCCCAGGGATATCCGCTTGCTTCCCCCGAGGCTGTAGAGACTTCTGCTGCCAAAGCCACCTGTGTAAACTCCCCCTGGAAGGACCGAAGTCGAGCTGCTGCCCACTCGGAAGCCACTGCCAGAGACAGAGTAGCCCCTTCCACCTGTCGAAAAGGATCTGGAACTGAACTGCCGGCTCATTGTGGCTCCTTGGGAAGAGTAGAGTTTTGAAGGCAAAGGAAGCAACCAAGGACGAGCAGAGAGGAGTCTGGAGGAGACCGAGTGCCCCTGTGATGTGGGAGTGGGAGATTTCTCCCTATATATGTTTGAGGTTCTGGGCTTGGTTGCATGGGAATGAGAAGATTGAGATAGAATATTTCATCAAGGGCTTGGCTTGCCTTCAAGCAATGAGTTCGCCACTAACAGCTTCAGCACCAAACATCACACACTCACTGGGTAGCTTTCATGCACCAAAATTGCTTGCACTGCAGTCTTGCTTGTTTGCATCTCTTTCATGTTAACCACAACCATGTTTGCTTTCTTCGAAGAGAGGTAAGCCATGGAGAAGGAGGGAACCTAATGCAAGCGGATGCCTCCATCTGTCCCTGCTAGTGGCGTTAGGTAGCAAGGCCTCAGAGTGCAGGACAAGAAGAATGGTGCTCCGCAGAAGCTGTATTTGCACTCCTGTAAAATGAGATGCTTCAGAATAACAGACACAGAAAAAGGAATCTGATTTATTACAGCGCATTTCACAAGTGTCTCAGACATGGACATTTGCAGGAGAGAATAAGAATAAACCAAGCTGGTGCCTGTGCATCAGCTTTCCCCATTCTGGATCTCTCCAGGTGTTTGGCTTAGATTGTCTATCAGCCTGAGCCAGCATGCTAAATTGTCAGGGATGATGGGAGCTGTAAGCCAAAACTTTTGGCGGAACCCAGATTGGAAAGGGCTGGCCTATGAACACTGATTTTCCAGCAAGCCATGGGGACATGTGGATAAAGCCTTTCTGAGGAAGAAGTTGAATCTGACAAGTCTGGCTTCTCTGCTGCCCAATCTCATGTCCATTTCAGCCCATTTCTGCATTTGTTTCCTATATTGGCAGGAAAAAAAGTGTGTGTGGATTTTTTTCACATTTTCGTTCACATTTCTTCCATTATGGCACTTGCGTATGCCATTTTCCTGGTGTGCACAGTATTGGCTAGCCATTTTAATCTGGTTTTATGCTTATTGTCCCTGAATAGAATTGTTGCCTGCATTTTTCTTTATGCATTTTGTGTACTTCTTTTTAGTGAGAAATAGTGTCTCAACATTTTGAAAAGAGCAGATTTGAGTGTACATTAGAAGTATTTAACTTCATGAGATACAAACTGAGTAAATTTATACAAAAGTCATGAAATTCTGATTCTGAGTAACAGCCTGCTTTTTCTGCATAGCTTCAGCACCACGGATACACTCAGTCTATCCACTGATTCTGTGATAAACAGATCAACACGACACATTGCAATGTTAAAAGACCACAATTTAGTTAATGGCAGGGACATTCCTGGTTTTGAAGAGAAAGTTTATTTATTTATTTAGTTAGTTAGTTATTAAAACATTTCTATGCTGCCCCTTGTCGAAGCCTTAAATTAAATTAAATTATTTTAATTAAATTAATTAAATTTAATTTAATTAAAATAAATTAAAACAATAACAATTAAAATATATACAGTAGACAAAATAAGCCGCCCTGGCCAAATAAAATTCAATAATATTAACATTTAAAATGCTGCTTAAATAAAAGTTCTGTTTCAGGGGTACAAGATTCTTGTATCCTTTTTCTTCATTCTCATGAATTCAGAAGCAAATTTCTAGTCAGTGTTTCCAGTTTGTATTCCACATCCCTTAGTGCTAAGATTCCCAAGGAAAAATACTTTGTGGCTGAAATACTATACATCCATGGCACAATCCTTGGCCATACACAGATCTAGCATCCATGTATGGAGGGATTCTCATGGGGTTCGAGAGACCCTGGTTTCTCTCCCCATCTGGCGCTCATGCACAGGAACAAATGAAGGCGGCCGAATGCACAGCAGCTCTGTAGGTCTGGCTGCATTACATGTCCTGTATCCCAAGCCAGCCCTCCCCACCTACTCAGGTTGCCGTGCAACTCCAAAGCTCAGAGCCTTCAACCAAGCAGCTGGGGGTGGCTGCATGGAGGCAAGGGAGGTGCACGCGGCATTCTTGGTCCCCAGAACTGGCGGTTGCAGTGCCATGCGTGCTCTGGTGGACTCATGCCGAGCAGCCAGGTGAGCAGCCGAAGTCTGTTGCACCTGCATGGGAAGGATCCTATCCTAGCCTCAAAGGTCCTAAGGAGGTATGTGGAGCATCATTTTGCACCCCTTGAGAGGTGCAAAGCAGAGCATCCTGAAAGACGGAGGAGGGGTGGAATGGGATCTTCTGCCATTCCTGATCACGCAGCCGGATCCAGCATCGCAGGCCCTCTACTTACACAGAAATCTAGCTGTTGCAAAGAGGTGTCATGTTAAATTTGATTGAGACACATGGCCAACGTTCCCAGTCAATGCCACTGTTAAGTGACTTTTGCATGCTTCCTGGTTATGTACCAGGTCTGTGTCTTATATTTGCCACTTCCTGTCCGGGGACTACAGAAAGATGTGCCTTTTGTATATAGCACTGAGAGTTGCTCTTGGCCTTCCAGCCATGTGTTTGGGGCCCACATCCCTCTGTGGTTTCAAACTCTTCTGTTGAACCTCATTTTTCCCGATGCTTCCCCCAGTACCTTTTTCCAGTTGTACTACAGTCGTTTGGGTCCTAGATCTGCCTCCCTTAGAGAAATGGATTTTCTTCAAGAGAAGCGTCTCAGCTAATGCAAAGTCCCCTTGCTTGATGTTTAGGGTTACTCTCTCCCATTCACAGCACAGCTCACCCTCTTCCATGGTGCCTCCTGGTTCTCTAGGGAGCATTTGCGTGGGGCTTGAGGAGCTACCAGGGGAATAAATGAGTAGACAAGTTGACTCCTCCTTGCAAAGTTGAACTAACTTAAACCTGGATCTGACCCACTATTGACTTCATATTATCAGTATATGAAGCTTAAGAGGTGAGATTGGACATGCCATAGGAGTCCTTCAAAATCAGTGAAATATCCTGTATACATGCATATATGCTTTTATGGTTCTCATTTTTCAAACATGTTCTCATTTAAAGAAAAACTAACAATGGCTAATGGAAGAACCATCAGCTGTGGTTAGTGTCAAGTCTAGCTGCTCCCAGGAATTCAGCCTCCACTGACCTTCCTTTTCCCTCTGCTTTTATCAATGGACTCTATCAATGGCTGGGAGGGAAGGAACCAGGCACCTCATCTTCTTTCCTCTTTGTTCGTAATTATCACTTATGGCCCATGCCTAACACTGCTGTACTATCAGCTCAATCCGTAGGAGGAAGCATTCCATGTATCTCCATTCTTGGTGTGGTGCTTGGACCACAGAGAGAGTTGCTATTCTACCTTTGGAATGTGAAATGTCAGAGGTTTAACCCAGACAGAAGGAACACCAAAATGCAACAGATGTTCAATCTGAGACTGGATCCTTTTGAAGGCTTTCCATAAAATGTGTTTCTAAACTAAGTTTTCAGCTTGTGCAGCTGCTAACATTGCAAGTGTATGCATGCATTCCACACCTGTCTCCCATAGGCCATGCTTGCCCTCAGAGTGGTCACAACCAGGGTGGGAAAACTATGAATATTCATGTTCATTTATGTATGCTTGCACTTGAGATGAGCTTGAATCATCAGTTAGTCCCCGCAAGCAGTGGGAAGGACACATTTTCCATAACTGTGGGAGACCCAAACTTTCCTCCTCCACCCCCCACCCACCCACCTTTGCCTCTTTCTCTGTGTGTATCTCTCAAAGCATAGATCACACACACTCTTGGTTTAGGAAAAGGCACAAGAACTTTATATTAAACTGTGTTCTGAATATGAGCTATTCCCATTAATGCTCCTTAATACTCTCAGAAATGTTCCCACAGAGATTACCTTTTTCCTCCTCTCTCACATAATGAATAACTGAAGGGGCCCATTACATATTGAACCAACCATTCGTCAAGCAAAATTTTACACCTTGGGTTCGATCCAGACTTAGTCATACCTAAAGGCGGCCATTTGACATCCGTGTGACTTAAATTAATCATGGTGTAGTCAAGTCCCATGTATTTCAATGGTTCTGCTCTAAGTATGATGAAAACTCAATCATCCCACTGAATGCCAGGTGAGGCTAGAAGGCAGCTATCCCTCTCCCTATTCCTAATATTCAGGGAGAGTGAGGAACATTTGTGTTCCTGCACAAAGAAACACACACACACATCTTTCCATGCTTGGGAGAAGACCAAAGCAATGGAGTATATATAAAAAAGAAGGAAAATTTCAGTGGAGAAGGAATCACCACAAAACAGTTCAACCCATACTGGGCATGCTTTTTGGCTTTTTTTTCAGATTCAGGATTTATTCTTCTGCATTCAGACAAGGCTTAGCCTAGGAAAATGCTCCCCCAGCCTTCCAGAACTTTCTTTCTCAGAGCAACCTCTCCTGAACAAGGAGAAACCTTGAAGATGATGAGAGCAGACGAGGTCCATGCCTTCCAATGTTCCCGCAACGGTCCTCTCCCGGACTGGGAGGTTCCCTAGAGCTGGGACTGGGGAGGTTTGAAGGCATGGGCTTGGCCAGGCCACAGTTGACGCTATTCACAATATCAAGGGCCTCTCCCCCGTCACACTGACACAAACAATATCTTGTTCTGGGGCATCACTTGACCTCCAGGAAGCTGAATCTGAGCTTAGTTTTGATAGCAAGCACCGTGCTTTTGGAATCATAAGCAACACTAATATGTTTAGAGACCTCCAATCTTGTTTATGAATTTTAAGGCAATAACATGATGTATCCCACAAAAGAGAATACAACTATGATAAGGACAATGACAAGAGCAATGATAAGATCAAATGTAATCATTAAAAGTATGAAGTGCAGCAGCCCCAGCAGCATCCCAACTCAGGTGCACTCCGGCCAACTGCACCCTTGATGCTCATAAGCCAACAAACACATAGGCAGGCAGTGCAGCCCAGGAGAAGCAGCAGAGGGACCTTTGCCTCCCTCCACCACCTGCAAAGCCTTCTAGCTGGATGGCTGTACTCAAGCATCTGGCTGAA